CGTCAGCCGTCACACGCGTTGTTTTGAGTCTGCAGCTGGGGGTCCGTCCGTAAATTACATTACGATTTAAATATTGGCCTTTGAAGTTCATGGTTTCCGTGCATGGGATTTGTAGCGAAAGTTATCTTGGAAACCAACAACTAATTAAAAGAAATCAGCGTAACATTTATTTTTAAATTTCAAATAAAATGAAGTGAAATGTAAATTTATTAATGGTATTAGGTTTATTGTATCAGGCGCCGTTGTTGCGAAAATAAGAAATTGACGTACTCATTTTAATCAGCGATATATTATCACAATAATATAACGATCAATCAGCATTTCTTTAATTACCATATCTATACTATTCCTTATCTGTATGCATTATCTTTGAATTCGATTTCTTACGTATTGAGCTTCCATAGGAATTACTTAAAATATGTTTACTTTGTCTTTCTACTGTAAATCGTGACAAACAGATGAGGAGTATTCATCGCCGTTTAAATGTTGTTTGGATCACGAAGTTACTCGTCTGAAAATGTTAACAGTCTAATGGTAATTTTCCGTTCAACGACATAGCCAACTATTGATTTTTTTTTATGAAAAAAATCTTATGCTATCTTTCGTGTGTTCAAACGTTTCACAATACAGTACAGATAAGACTATTTTGAGTGATAATAAACAAGCCTTTACAGTATTTTAATAGTGATAATTTTATACCAAAAATATTCGCGGGATGGTAAACAGAGCCTGCGTTGTTGCAATTTTATTTCCAATCTAATCAAGCATATGTTGCTATGATAATATCCAAGGCCGATGTGTTCATGTCGAACCACTTCCCGACTTCAAGTGGTAATGCGCTCAAATGCTTATCTGTATAAAAAAATATTGACTCATTTCTATTAACCTCGGCAACCGATCTTTGGCCAATGATTACCTTATTTAAGAAAGATATGACACAACAGTAGTCCTTTGTTTTGTTTCTAAAATACCTTATATCGGGAATAAGCTCTTGTCCTTGTGAATACAAACATCATCAGCCGAATGATTCTCCTCAAAATCACCATAAAGATAATTTTACGCGTTGTTTAGTTTAGGACATTGATGGATAGGTAAATAATCAAAGATTTATTAAGAAACATTTTAAAATATTCTCAGTTTATTGTAGCAATTGTAATAAATGTGATAACTGGAGGAGGCATAAATGTAAATAACTCGTAATCGTTAAATACTAAAAATTATTAGGAAGTTTTTGTATTGGAAGATTACGAAGAAAGATATACGTTAATAATATTGAAATAGAAATGTATAAAATAGTAATTTCCTAATGTTGCCTTATAAAGTAGTAGTTAAATTCACATGTGACTGATTCGACTCACAATCGAATGCAAACACCATTATTTAACGCACGATCACCCTGAATGAATGACTTCACCCGTTTCAGAATAGAAATGGTTTTGCGTAATACCTATCCAATTAAAAATAGCCTCTATGACATGCTTTATGAAAACGTTATTATGAATCAATCTGTACGCGGCCCAGACAATTATCATCTAGATACGTCCCCACTGATGGCACGGAGCCTACCCTAAGTAAGATGACTAGGCCATAGTCAACTACGCTGGCCCACTGCGGGTTGATTGACTTCACACATATCTTTGAATTTCTTCGCCCATATGTGCAGGTTGCATCACGATGTTTTTCTTCACCATAAGAACGTCGGGTAATATATAGCGGGATTCGAACCCAGGACCTGTAGGTCATAATTCAAGTACCTAAACCCCTCAGCCACCGACGCATCGAGAATCTATCTAACGATAAAAGTGGAGAGGGGACCGTGTCCGAGTGATAATATGTTAGTTGCTAGGCTGACTTAGATTTATAGGAACGTTTAAAATTACACCTATGTAAATAATCGTATGTATTATTACTTTAACGTTATTAAAATTAAATATGACCCATGGTAACGGAATATGTGATAGCAAGTATATTATAAAATTCTTTCCGATTTAAATTCAATTTCAAAAAAGTAAATCTTCATCTTCAAGTAAATGTATAAAAACATGTTAATTTTAAAATTGTGGGATATGTTATTTAATTTGGGGCTCTTGATATCATGTAAGGACGATTGTGGTCATTCTGGGGTATGTTAGCGTGTAGTGATGATGTCAGACGTACAATATGTATTAACTAGGTTATGTACAGTAACATGAAGCCACTTATCGTATTCTCTATTCCGATGTGTATGCATACGCCGTATCTTCGGAGGATGGTCGAATGCAGTGCCAAGGCCAATAACCATATGTTTCACTGACAGCCGCGAAATTATACATAACCACACATATAATAATATCTATAGATTTTCTAGTACTGTATGTACTCGCCTACAAGAATGATAAATAACCATTTGCGCTTAATCCAGGTATAGGTCTTGCCCACGAGCCGTTATGAATATCTATCTTGTTTTTCTTAATACTTTATGTTCATATTTGGTTATGAGTGTAATTTTTCCGTATAAGACGCCACCCTCCATCGATTTACACGTTATTCGTAACCGTTTGTTTACTTACTGCTCATGTAGGTGTACACTGTGTACTAACACACAAGTATACCTGTTATCAGCGTTGAGGCAACATCGCGCCCGCTACCATGTTCGCGTGTAGTAGATTCTCAGTTCGTCGATGACGACAGATGAGCAGTAACATGCGACGTGCCATCGCTAATAGTGACTCGTCTCCGCTGCCGTGGTAGGAGGACGGTAGGGTCGGGCACGCGCTATCGTTCGTAAGTGTCAGTGCTGCGCGAACAGCTCCGCCGCGTGGTGTACCGCCGCAGGACCGCAAACCGCGCCAACTGGACCACTGCGATTTGTTCAGTGACGTTATGTGAAACTAATTTATATTTGTGCTCGTTATTGGGAGATTGCCATTATTCTGATACGCAGGTGAATACAACTTCGACGTCGGGCTGTCGATACGCGATCCTTGTATTTGCAACGTCAGTTCTCCGTCGACGGGAGACATGTATATCCTCTTTGATCTTTGTATTCGTCATTTAACGGGTACGAGTTTGTGTTATAACGAATGTGTTTTATTGGTATTTCAGCTTTGAACCGTTACTTTAGCGGCGACTTAACATTTGCATAGCTCCAAGGTCTCACTTACAGCCGATTGTGATTGCTGACCAAATTGACAGTTTTTGCGCGCGTATCTTCAGATGACATTAATGGATTTATACAGAAAATGTTTTATAACATGTAACCTAAATAAGAATTTAAACATAATCATTAAGTTATTTTAAAGTTAAGTTAATATTACCGTATAAGTTAGAAGTATATTTAAAAAAAATCTGAATATAGGTATTTATTCATAATCTTTAGCATTCAATTAACATGATATCGCTCTAATTATATAATGGTAACACGTTTCTAACTGATTAGGTACTTTGCCAATATTGACGTGCGACTTAATTCATTATACACTTAAATGTTTAAACAGAGGCGAATAAGAGGCCTACGACTGTACCATCTTTTAGTATGGTCAAGTTTTCCATCACATTTGTACAAATATTTCTCCATTTATCAAGACTTTATATAGCATCGTCTAAAAATTTATGATACAGTATTGATACTCCTTTAGGATTAAACAAAATTAGCGTTATTATATGAAAATTAGAGGGGGTACTACGGTTAGTCGTCGAAGGGGAAGGGGGGGGCTCCACAAATAAGTGATAGTATTAGAAATACAAATAATTTTCCTAGTTAAAAATAGGCTTAATTCAGGCATAAATTTTAATAATTTATTAGTTTTCCGTTGTGTTGTGTGTACATCAGTATGTTTGCGTACGGTCCAGTTACAGTACTCGCCGGCGTTGTCCACAACTAACGGGTTCAATGACCAATAGATAGTTTCACTAAAATGTACTATTTGTCCGCGGAACGATTAACGCATATATCACGCGATAATAAATTTTGATTCGCTCTATTTAGTTATTTGTAGTTGTAAAGTGTATTGATGTAATATATCTAGTAAAGATTAAAATTGTGTTGTTTGTACATGTTTGTTTATATATGACAAGTGAATTCTAATAAGTTTTGTTTTGTGCTTACGTTAAGCATGTTAAGTTGTTCTAAACCAGTTTAGAGGATTATGCATTTATGCGGCAGTACCACAGATTTATAATCCGTATATATTTACTTAAAATATGGTCAATCGATGTACATTTCTTGAATAATATGTTTCAATAATAGTTAAAAAAATAACACAAGATAACCTCGGCGCATTTCAATAATGTTATAATACGAATATTTAAGTTAACTTCAGATTTGTGAATACCTAAAAGGAGAATTGTAAAATGTAGGTCGGGGTTATTCTTTTGTTGGCAAGAACACAATACGTACTTGAGAAAAACTTTCGCGATTACCTAAACCTAACGGCTTTCAAATAATCAACGTTGAAGTGTCAGAGAGAGGAGCGCATATGTCCGAGCAACGGTACTGTCGACTTTCAATCCAGATTCACATAAAAAAATTATAACACAAATAGCCAGCCAGCACTTTGGCTAATGTGTTGATGTTAATCTATTTTTTTGTCCAAAGTAATCAGTCTTGTAATTCGTGTAGTAAGATTTTGGCTGCAGCTCCATAAGTTTATTTCGAAAGATGTAAGAAAGTCATTATTGCTCTCTGGTTAAGTATTGAAATGGTGAGATAAAAAATTGCATTTTGAGTAGTGCAATTTTGATGCCATTTAGCATTACATAAACCGTAAAGTGAAAATTCTTTCCTGCTGTCAACCGCACACACTTTTCGAACACAAATTTGTCTAATTGCACTATTCATTCATTATAGATGTTGCTATTATATTTATACAATGTTAACTAGAAATATATTCTGCGTAATTCTTTCATTGACACTTGATTTTTTGTTCTAATATGTGACACTAATCAGTCTCTGTTCAGCAATAAATGACAAGAATTTCTTATAAAGGCGTTTTATATTTTTTGTCGTCTATCTGTTGTTACAAACATTTCCGGAAATTATGCATAGTTTTAAATGTTTATGGTTAGATACAAATGTCGTTTATAAGGTTAAACAATGCTAAGTAAATAAAAATGAACAAATAGTACGACTCTACCGGGGTGCTGCAATAACAACAAAATAAACAAAGAAATTCGACGTAATTATTGTTGTTTGAAATTGCGTACTCTACAATACAAATTGACTCTAGAAAAGTATTATTTCTAACGGTGTTGTAATCTGTTTATCTTTGGTTTTCATCCCACGTTTATTCTTAACCTTAAAGTCCTTATTGCAATTGGGATATTAAAAGCTGTAAATTTATACCACCACAAATCTAAAAAACGCTAAAACAGGGCTATCAAATTAAACTAAAAACAGAAATGTCGCCTTGATGTATAAGAGCATATACCAAACAAAGCCTGTCACGGTTTATTAGAATGTTTGGACAAAAAACATCGTCTCCGTACAAGGCATTGGTAGTGGGATAAGTCCGCTTTCAACGTACAAGGTCAACTTCCAATTCTGGAATTGATCGTGGACCTGTTTGTATGTATTGCTTTAGAGGAGCTCCGAGGGATAAAGGTAGTATACAAAGAGCGTTTCTTCACTGAAAATTAATTTTAGTTCTATGAAATGATGCTACACCTAGATTGTCTGTCGTAGTTATTAGTAATTAGAGAACTTTGGAGAGCCGTAAATCGATGTTTAAATGTTTGTAAGTATTTACCATGTTTACTTATATATATTTAAATATAATGGCCTTTTCTTATTGAATAATCGACTATATCATGCAGTGACATAGGCGCTCCACTTTAAAGGTTATTGTATTTTACGACTAGGATGTCTTGAAGCTGTTGTATAGATGAGAACACAATCGATACGAGCTCTGACCTCCGGCCTATTGTACGTGAGCATGACATGACTCCAGAGACCGGCAGTCAGCGGTTCTGTTACCGGTCCTGTATCTCCGTAGCAATTTAGATAACTACTACTTGCTAAACTTGTTTTTCTAAACCTACTTGGGTATTTTGAGGAAATTTCTACGTCTAGTAAGTTTGAGATAAGTTTATAAACGTATTGTTTTGGTAAATCCGCTTGTATTTCTTGCTTTCTGTATTTTATATTTTTTATAATCAAAATGAAAATTAAATATAAAGAATTTACAAGCACAAAAATCGGATTACATCCGAATAAGAGTTAGAACAAGTAATACATGACTATTATCAAAAGAAACAATAAATTAATTTTATTAGCAGACTTGTAGCGTGACATTAAGTAAGACGGAAGTAGACTACGATGAATGGCGACATTGCTATTTTATTAGTTTATGTAAACTTGTATAAGGCATTCGAAGGTGTGTCTCTAAACATCTTTTAAGAATATTACGTAATAATTATACATCCTCCTAAAGTAATCCTAAACAATATTTTTCTTGTTAATATTGAAACAATATTACTTTGCGACATTATTCTTGAACAAAACAAGACAAGTACTAAAAATCAATTACAAAAAATCAAAAAAATGTTTAATTCAGACCTTACGGCCGCGACAAGTCTCCTATGATTTAATCTTAATTTATATTGGTCTCACAGAGGTATAATGTAATAGTTAAAAAGCGTATTTTCGCATAAATAGCAGCAGCAATTGGCATAGAGGCACGAATTAGATTAGCATATTGGATTCGCTATCGCGAATTACGATCTTCCCGCGCTGAATAAGACGCGAAC